AGGTGAATTCCAAATCATTGAGCGTTTTTGGTCCTTTTGTAGCGTCTTGTGTATGATTAGCTCGGTAGAGACCCATTTGCCTTGCAACCTGTAGCATAAGGCCTAGAAACATAAAAGGAGGGTATGAAGTACTACTACTCGTTGGAAATGGTCAGTTGAATAGTAAAGTAAGGGCCTGAACTGTCGGTAGATTTTGAGAGACCGACCTTAAAGTTCTCCATGTCAAATCTGTGACGGTCCGAGTGAGCTTTGGTAGTAGCGTTGGCTGACAAACCAAGTGTCGGGATGCAACTGAGATAATGGTCCAAAATGAAAGCTCAGAACCCTCAAATTGCTCATGAGGAGACTTTGCTGCATGAATGAGAGGCATAAAAGGGTAACAATGCGTTGTAAGGCTATTGGTAGATGGAGAACGGTTTCATTTAGGTCCCGCTGCCGCTGACGGGCGACTAAGGCACGACATAGCTTACATATTGAAAAGACCTTCAATCTCATCCAATGACAATACTTTGTTTCCAGGCGCTCTGGGGCGGGCTGCTGCGGTCCAGGAGGATTCACGGGACGTTGACACATCAATGCTTGGCCTAGTCGTGAGACCTAGTACATGCGAACCAGGTCCAACTGTTCTTTCAGCACTTTCCACCGAGGGGCTTGAGGGCAAATATGCTGAATAGGTGACTGATGAGGGGGCAAAGCACATAGGTAACGTGTCATTCGTCGAGATCGAGAGTGGTGTTGCCGAAAATATCTACCAATTTCTCATCGTAGGCGCACCAGATGCGTGTAGACCAGGCTGCAATTGTTACGCAACTCTCGAACCTCCTTTTCTAAACCGGTCAAGCGTCTGCGCTTTTCTGTTCTTCGAAAACCCTCGTCAATTTTACATTTGATGCCGAGACGGGAACATCGGCCACATGTTGCGATTGCCATCGCTTCGTCACTAGCAAGATCATAGTGAAGCTTTTGTTGTTTGCATGTATTGCAGGCTCTCCTCCGATCAGAAATCTTACTAGCATTGTTGGGAATAGTCTGTATAGCTGCAGAGTCTATGTTGCTACCTTGCACGACAGGTGGTGGTGTAGAGGGACGCAGGTCGTATCGCACTTATATATAAGCGCTAGCCTTCTATTACATGGTGTATACGTAAAAGTGAAACAAAGGCTCAAGGTACGCAAAGGCAAGCCCCACTTGATAATTTTAAGCACTACTTTGGTCTCGTAGGCAATCAGTTCAACGTTGCAGTATCGAGCCTCAATGTTGGCTACATGCTTGCACAGCTACCATCCAACATGATCCTGATTTGAGTCAGACCCAGCATCTACCTCACATTCTGTGTCGTGGTCTAGTCTTACATGTCAGCAGCATCGGCAGGTGTTCGAAAGTTCTCAGGGCTTATCGCAGTCCGTTTTTTGTCGGGGACCGTAGAGGCCCCGTTCCCCATGGCGTGAATCTTTGAGACCTGCAAGTTTGAATCATATCGACATTAACTTCTCTTATATGATATGATTTCTTTACTCTCTTGGTAGTATACTCGCAAGAGGTTTGCTCTACGCACTGCTATTCTGTACTCTGGACTAATATCAGCAACGGCCTTCTCCGGCCTTATCTCTGCTGGTATATTCGACGGTTTAAGTGATGTGTAGGGACTTCACGGATGGCAGCGGTCGTTCATAATAAAGGGTACAAGTAGCATTGTAGCCGTTATTATCGTATTTGTCTTGCTATCAGACTTTCCAGATGCTAAGACGGGAAGAGCAAGATGGCTGCTCAATGATGACGAGTTTGAACTTGCACAACAGCGGATCACTCTTGATCGTGTATTACTTCCAGAGACTGACCGGTCGGTCTGACATGGACTGAGTCTTGCGGCCAAAGACATTCGCAGTGGATCTTCGTAAGTGATGCCATGGCTGCAGGCATGTTCGAGTATAGCGACTGAATACTCATTTGATGTAAAGGTCATCATGTTATGTACTAGTCATACCATATAAGGATTTAATAATTTCTTTCCAATGTAAGCATGCATCATGCATAGCAACCTTCAAGATCGCACGAAGAACATTCCGGTATCATCAAGTCTACGAACTTTGATTCAGGAACGACTACTCCACCTCTGAAGGCGTCTTATCTTTTCGGCGCCATCGTATCTTTTATGGCCGCCTACTCCAGTGATCGCTTCAACGAGTGAGGCTGCCACATTAGCATAATTATGCTAGTAGCTATTACTGGGTTTGCAATATCTGCTGGGACATTTAACAAGCCTGCTTGCTGTTTCGTTTCCTTTCTTCATTGCGCAGGGGCTTTTTCTGCCAATGCTGTTGTCTACTCCTGTGCTGCAGGTGCACTAAATCAAACTCCAGAGAAGCGCGCATGCGCAACAGCAATCATCAATCTACTCTCTCTGCTCGGCAACATCTGCAGTCCGAGCTTTTTTCCGTCTGAAGATAAGCCGTGCTATGTTATGGCCGTGTTGCTTATGACGGCGTTTTCAGCACTGAGCATTGTAGTTTCGCTGCTTATGAAATACCTCCTCAGAAATAAGAACAGAACACTACTAGTAGACGCAGAGCAGACTAAAGAAGATATTAAGTTTCGTACAACGTAAAGCAAATTATAATGAAACTCTAATTCTAGGCCCAATCGCTCCAATGAGTGTTTTCTCGGTAAGAGTACTCTTTACTAAATACATTCGCTTTCTGCGGACCTTCAACCTCGAGAAGGTAGCCCGGGGCACACATATCAAAGGAGACTTTCGGTTGGACCGAGTAAAAGTGGTCATACTTCTCGTTCATAGCATCTCCCAGTGTGTTCACATTGCCTTGGGGATGCAAGGTTTTCCACGGTTTTACACATACCTCACCCTTGCATGATTTGAGCACCATAGTGAGTGCATCAAGTCGCGGTTGTAAAGCATCAATCTTGAATATCCCAACTGAGCTATTGGATCCCCATAGATTGTGCATCTGGTGAAGATCGGTCTGGTCACAGTCAGAATCAGGTACAGCATCCAGGGACAGACACGGGATGACTAACCTTCATGTCATAGAGCTCATGTTCATTAGTGCACCATACAGTATATGATATGTCATACTCAGGCGATACAATGCGTAAGCTCTTATACGTATTATTCGGTAGCTTAGCATTGCCGCTGTAAAGTCCCTCGCCGAGGCTTGGACCCCAGAACTCCACATTGACATGCTCAATTTTGGCGTCGTCATTGTCCGCAGCACTGGTAGGCATGGGTGTCCCATCAAACTGCTTTCGCAGGGGAACTTTTGCGAGTTTAAGTATTGTAGGCGCAATATCGGTGTGAGTGGTCGGGAGCTCAATAGTAAGACCTTTAGGTAGACCCGGTCCACGAATAAACATAGGCACACTGATATCTTCTTCATATGCGGAGCATTTGCCTGGACTGAGTCGGTGTTGACCAATATGGAAGCCATTATCTGCAGTGTAGAAGATGAATGTATTTTCCAAGACATTCATAGCTTCGAGTTTGTTCACCACTGCCTCGATAAGATCATCAACCGATGCGAGCGCTGCAAGACGGAGCCGATAGAACTCGTCGTTATATGCAAGAACGGTGTCGTTTAATTTTGGTAATCCTTTCACGTAACTCGCACCACTTGCCTGCATCTACGTTTTAGCAATAGCTCTTATAGATTTCGGTACTGCTTACCATTTCGGGGTTGAAATTCGATGTGCGTGGTACCTTGACCCCATGGTAGAGGTCCTTGTATCGCTCCGCAGGCACTGGTGGGTTAAAAACAGCCTTGCCATTTTCAAAGGTGGTTTCCGAGTGAGGAGCGATCGGCATAACTCCAAGAAAAAATGGCGCATGTGATTTTGCTGCCTCTTCGAGGAATTCGATAGATTTATTAGTAATAAGGTCTGTGCTGTATTGCCCTGGATAATTCTTTGGGGGTTCTCTATTACGCTGCATTGTTGCGTTGTTGTAGACGTATGTCCCTGGGTCGATCAAGACTAAGAGGGCTCAGCATAAAATTGAAAAAAAAAATAAGAAAGAGAGCTTGAACGCACAATCGGATCCATTCCAAGCGTTTGGATATGGGTTGTTATAAGTTGACACAGAATGAGAATTCATCAACTTTCCAGTATAGTAGGTGTTGTACCCTGCTTCCTGGAGCCAAACAGGCAAGTAATTATCATTAAATCCCCGCTCTATGAATTTCGAATAGCCACCTGCATTGACGGTTAGGTATATCATAACAGTGAAGAGATCAGTTTACCAAAAGGTGGGGAGACATCTGTAACATTGGTGTTGTGCCCCGCCATGCCCGTCCATAACGAAACTCGTGAAGGACAACATATAGACATTGTTACGAAGTGGTTGTTGTACGTGACTCCCTGGGAAGAAAAGTGTTTTCGGATTGCGGGTTGGTAGTCTAACGAATTCATTTGTAGATCTTGGTCGTCCGTCATTATGAAGACAAAATTCGGCCTCTTTCCTGGCTGCAGCATGTTTGGCGCGTTTGACGAACCACTAGTTGTGCGACCTTGGCACAGCAAGCATTGAGGAGAACCCCGAGAATTGGACAGCGCGCCATAAAGGAGTAGACTACTTGCAATTAGTAGAGAAGCAAGATTAAAGGCCATTCTTGGTCGGTAATAATGGTAGCGAGGAACCTGTGAATACACTATCAATAAGTCAGTGCGCTTTTTTCTTAAGTATTCTGCAGGAACCAGTTCATGACGTGATTTTAGCGCATGTGAGCGAATACAGACCCACAAAGATAGGATTTTACAATACCTATCTCCTAGCCGAAGTATTTTGAAATGCGATAAGTGAAGATCTTTACTTGATGTTGAAATGGTGCCGATGTTCCTTAGCCGATGTGGTTCGTTTTGGTGGGCTAACCCGCTTGGTCGAGTAGTCTCACCGATCGACAGCAAGAGTCACACTTCAGCTAGAGTATAGGCGGAGAAATCTTCCATAGCTCAATAGGTGAAGCTTATATATAGATAAATATAGTGCTTTTTTACGAAATTGTGAAACCGTTATACCCACTCGCTGCCGTTTCGTTGATAATCTTGTAATAACTCGGCACTCCACCGAGGTAGATCAATGGCTCCCTGGTCTTCCCTGGAACGTTGGTACCCATATACCACTACCATGACGTTAGTCTATCTCCATTTAGTGAGTGTAATCTCTCTTCAACTCACAGAATCTACGCTCGGTAGTAAGGATGCGTTCGCAAGCTTCCATACAAGCTCCTTCCATGCATCTTCACTCATCTCCTGTGCTTGGATCTTGCGGAGCGAATTTCGCTTCACGTAGTTGATCATTTGTAAAATCCAGTTGCCCTGAAGTTCAGCACATGTTGGTCCATTGCAAAAGGCAGTTGGTGCTTGCGGGCCGTATGTAAAGAACATATTGGGGAAGCCTGCCACTGCCATGCCGAGATACGTCTTTGTGCCATCTTTCCAGTGCTCACTCAAGCTTTCGCCCGACGAGCCGCGGATATCAATTTGTTTCAGCCCTCCTGTGATTGCGTCGTATCCTGTCGCGCTGATGATGTAGTCAAACTCATACTCATTATCAATGGTTTTGACCCCGATCTCAGTGATTTCCTGGATCGGCGTACCCTTGTCACTCACGTCAACCAAAGAGACGTTCATTTTGTTGTACATTTCAAAGTACTCATTCTCCAACGATATACGTTTACATCCGAAGGGGTACGGTTGTTCCATAGGTGCAAGAATGTCCGCAACCTTGGGTGAATTTATCTTGGCTCGTGTCTTGTCGCGCCAGAAGTTGTATGCTTCACGGTTGGCTTCTTGGGTGAAAATCATATCACTGTATGTTGCAAGCCAGAACTTGAAGTCCCCTTGTTTCCATAATTCCTCGTATGTTTTGAGTCGTCGTTCTGGTGTATCGTCAAAGGTTGAGCGTGGAAGGAAATTGAAAGAGAAACCTGAGAAGCTACCTGACCGTTCAGCAAAGAGTTTCGGATAATCAGGCTTAGGAATTGCTTGCTGGGGAGGCTCGTAGTCCACTTGTCCCATTGGCAACGACATGTTCAGCGTCCGTTGAAACACAGTAAGATGGCCCGCAACCTTGCTTAGCTCTTGGGCCAATTGGATGCCAGTTGATCCAGTACCGACAATAGCTACCTTTTTATCCCGAAAGTCAGGCTCTTCATAAGGCCAATTCGATGGGTGTAAGAAAGTTCCTAATCAGTGTTTAGTAGGCATCATAGAGACAGCTACGCATTCTAACCTTTGAAAGACTCGATTCCTTTCCAGTTGGGAACATACCGCTTCGCTGCAAAGCCGGTGTTCAGCAGTAGGAACTTCACCTTATAAGTCACCCCGGTATCAGTCTTCACAATTCATTTTGCATCATTGTCACTCCAAGCAGCTGACGACACAAAGCTATTGAACACCGTATCCTTCCTCAGGTCCCATACCTTGGCCACATATTGGAAGTAGGCACGGAGTTCCTCGCTGCCTGGAAAGCGTTGCTTCCATGTCCATCCCTGCCATAATGCTGGATCGGAGAATTCATAGTGGGGGATGGCACTGTCGACGCGTGCACCGGGATACCGGTTCCAGTACCAAATACCTCCGTAATCTGATCCGCGTTCCACAAGCTTGACACTGTAGCCAGCATCGCGCAGCATCTTAAGCTGGTATACACCGCCGAAACCTGCACCAACGATCAAAGAGTCATGCTCTTTGAACGAAGCATCATGGTTGATTTGAGACGGATTCATGTTGTGTCGCACCGCTTTGCGATACATGAGTCGGATCGGATTATGAGGGGGTAGAGTAGATATTATCGCTTTTCTCGCCAGAGGATGACAAGGAGAGGTCCCATTGATTAGGAGGGAAATCATGAATTTATCCTCGGGAAGTGGGCGCCTTGGTTACCTCAGTTTATTGAGTACCACTCCATATGCAAGGTCCGTCACACGCACAAAATGCAGTATAAAGGCTTAGTGATGATCATTACTTGAAGTGAGATCCGGACAAATAGTAGTAATAAGTCTCAGTCGAAGAAGTATGCATGATACGTGGATGTTTAAGGCATTCAGTTGCATGGCTGGCAACTACTTATTGAAGTGACCGAACTGTGTCCTCTTACCCACATGGGGTGGTGTGTGGTTACACTGACTTCCATATTAACATGCGGCGGTTGGAGCGGATATTCGATGCGGAGACCTCGCTTCTGTCCTGCGATCCTGCAGACAAGGGCACGTCGGCGCGCATCAGCTGTTGGCACGCCTAATGCCGCTCCTACAACAGAAAAACGACACGGCACATTCATGTCAACTTGGGTTTCTTAACGCGCTGTTCTACTATCAAGATAACTAGTATCACGCGGTGATACACTATCCCTCTCTTACACCGACATCTAAGTACAGCGCACAACACGATCAGGCCACCGTGCCCTCGTCATAAAGTACTAGGCTGCTACACGGAGCTTGTCACGTCTCGTTCCTATCGCGCCTACCACATTCCTCCACGAGCCGATGCGTCTTCTAGGGTACGGAGAAGATGGTAGCCTTACGATTACCAGCTTCGATGACGATGCGATACCACCTTATGCGATACTCTCCCACACCTGGGGGGCGGACACAGAGGAGGTGGACTTTGATGACATTGTAAAGGCTCGTGGCGAGCATAAGCTTGGCTATGAGAAGATTCGTTTCTGCGGAGACCAGGCACGGAAAGATGGGTTGCAGTACTTCTGGGTTGACACATGCTGCATCGACAAGACAGACAACCATGAACTCTCTACAGCAATTAGGTCTATGTTTCGCTGGTACCAAAATGCGATTAAGTGCTACGTGTACCTACCTGACGTGTTGGCAAATGAGCAAAGATCAGATGAGATGTTTGCCCAGCCCTGGGAGCCCGCTTTTAGGTCAAGTCGTTGGTTCACACGTGGGTGGACGCTTCAAGAGCTTCTTGCACCGAGCAAAGTAGAGTTTTTTACTCGAGAGGGGGAGATGCTTGGTGATAAGACGTCGCTAACGCCATTGATCAGCAAGATTACTGGCATCCCACCCCAAGTGCTCCAAGGCACGCTTGCCCAGTTCGATATCGAAGAGCGCCTACGTTGGAGAGGGAACAGAAAGACCAAACTAGAAGAAGATATGGCATACTCTTTGTCAGGTATCTGTGACGTAGATATCGCACCTTTATATGGCGAGGGTGAAAAGGGGGCGTTCAGACGGCTGCATGATGAGATACGGAAGTTGAAAGACTGCGTCCGCGACTTACGTTCTAGTAACCCTTATGACGATAAGAAACGTATTGAGGATACAAAGGGCGGACTGCTAGCAGACTCCTACCGCTGGGTTCTCAATAACACCACTTTCCAGCAATGGAAACGGCACCGACACACCCAGAACTCGCACACTCAACTGCTATGGATAAAAGGGGATCCGGGTAAAGGGAAGACAATGTTGCTCTGCGGTATCATCAACGAACTGCAGCACGAACTGCAGCAGACCTTCACTCCCCAAAGCGCTCTTCTAGGGTACTTCTTTTGTCAAGCGGCCGACCCGCGCATCAATAGTGCCACAGCTGTGCTACGAGGTCTATTGTACATGCTCGTTACTCAACAACCATCTCTTATGTCACACGTCCTCAAGAAATACGACACTGCTGGCAAGGCCTCCTTTGAAGACGCAAATGCTTGGGTGGTTTTCTCAGAGATCCTCGAAGACACGCTTCGCGACCCACACCTGCGCCCAACGTATTTAATCATCGATGCGCTAGACGAGTGTATCATTGATCGACCCAACCTCCTAGAGTTTATCGCTAAGCATTCATCCATCTCTCCCCGGGTGAAATGGATAGTTTCGAGCCGTAACTGGCCAGAAATTGAAGAGCAACTGGAGCAGCAGGTAGGACACCAAGCGACATTGAGCCTTGAGCTAAATGCGGAGTCGGTTTCAGCGGCGGTTGACGTCTTTATACAACGTAAGGTAGATCAGCTGGCACAGGAAAAGCAGTACAAAGCAGAAATTCGAGACGCTGTGCTACAGCACTTGAGGTCGAACGCCGGCGATACATTCCTCTGGGTAGCGTTGGTGTGCCAGGATCTGAGGAAGACACCAAAGTGGAATGTGCTCAAGAAGCTAGCCTCAGTATTCCCGCCTACACTGGACTCTTTGTATGGGCGAATGATGGATCAGATAAGCGAGTCAGACCCCGCCGAGATCTGCCAGCATGTGCTGGCTTCGGTTGCTGTCCTATATCGACCTGTCACAATCTCTGAATTGTTTGCGCTGGTGGAGCAGCTTGAAGACGTAAACGACCTAGAGTCAAGGCAGCAAATTGTGGGCTACTGTGGATCCTTTCTTACATTGCGAGAAGACACAGTTTACTTTGTGCATCAGTCCGCAAAGGATTTTCTCTTCGCAAAAGCTTTCAATAGCAAAGTCTTTGTAGCTACGATTGAAGAGGTCCATGAGAACATATTTTCGAGGTCGCTATCCATTCTAGACAGAACATTGGGCAAGGATATGTACAGTTTGGAAGCGCCAGGATATCCCATCGAGGAGGTCAAAACAAATGACCCAGATCCGCTCGCAGAGTCGCGATACTCATGCGTCTACTGGATTGACCATCTCTACGACTCGAAGCCGGGATCTTTGCAAGTTGCAGACCGAGTCAGCAGGTTTCTAAGAGAGAAGTATCTCTATTGGCTAGAAGGACTCAGTCTTTGCAGAGGTGTAGGGAGAGGCGTCGTGTCGATGACAAAACTGTGGTCTTTGGTGCAGGTAGGTCGTCCAGATCGTGTGTTAACATGACTGTACTGATGTGGATAGGGAATGCGCAATCAAGAAGAGCTTAGTCGGATTGTCGAAGACGCGCGAAGATTTATCATGTATCATAGGGGAGCGATTGAGGGTTACCCTCTCCAGACTTATGCATCCGCAATCCTCTTCAGCCCAACGGGCAGTTTGATCAGGCAATTGTTCGAGCAGGAAAAGCCAGGCGCCATCAGGATTAGGCCAGTACTGAGCGAGGGATGGAGCGCGTGTCTGCAAACGCTCGAGAACCATGGCAGTGATGTCACCTGTGTGGCTTTTTCGCACGACTCAACACGACTAGCATCAGGATCCGAGGACAGAACTGTGAAGGTGTGGGACATGAGCAGTGGCGAGTGCCTGCAGACGTTTGAGGGCCATGAGGATTATGTTACCTCTATAGCCTTCTCGCGTGACTCAACGCGGCTGGCGTCAGCATCGGAAGACAGTACTATCAAGCTGTGGGATACAAGAAATAGTGGGCTGTGCCTACAGACGCTAGAAGGCCACAGCGATTGGGTGAACTCCGTTGCCTTCTCGCACGACTCAAAATGGCTTGCATCAGCTTCGGGTGACAGAACCATCAAGCTGTGGGACACAAGTACTGGCACATGTCTAAAGACGCTGAGGGGTCATAGTGGTAACATTAGGTCCGTGGCTTTCTCGCACGACTCGGCGCGGCTAGCGTCAGCCTCCTTTGATACCACTATTAGGATATGGGATGTAAGCAGCGGCGCGTGTTTGAAGACGCTTAACGGTCATCGTCTTACTGTTAGGTCTGTAGCCTTTTCTCATGACTCGTTGCGGCTAGTTTCCGGGTCGGAAGACCACACGATTAAGGTGTGGAACACAGGCAGTGGTGCGTGTATGCAGACTCTCAAGGGACACAGCGATTGGGCAAACTCAGTCGCCTTCGCACACGACTCAACACGGATAGTATCAGCGTCTGGTGATGGGACTGTCAAGGTATGGGATCCAAACGGGACATGTCTACAAACGTTCGAGGGCCATAGTAGTACTGTTAAGTCCATCGCCATCTCGCACGACTCGAAGTGGCTGGCATCAGCGTCTGGCGATAAAACCATCAAGGTGTGGGATGCAAACAACACGGGTCTGCAGAAACTCGAGGGCCACAGCGGCACGGTGAGGTCTGTGGCCTTCTCACGTGACGGGACGTGGCTAGCTTCTGCATCCAGTGATAGTACTATCAAGATATGGGATACGAATAGTGGCGCGTGCCTGCACACTATGAAGGGTCATGGTAGCACCGTTACCTCTGTGGCCTTCTCCCATGACTCAAAACCCTGGCTGGCGTCTTCGTCTAGCGACCGGACGATAAAGTTGTGGGACGTCAGCAGCGGCACGTGTCTGGAGACGGTCACGGTTGACAACCCCGTCTTCGAACTTTCCTTTGATGCCACTGGTGCTCGACTTGTTAGTGAAACAGGCACTGTCAATATCAAGACCTTAGAGACGTCGTCGCCCAGCGCGATGGATTTCCCAGGGCCGACGCGCCGCTCGACAGGTCTGGGAACTGGCTTTAGTTCGGACAGTATATGGATTCAGCATGATAGAAGAAACATGGTATGGGTACCGTCGGAGTACCGCCCGTCACGTTCGGCCGTTTATGGGACTATGGTCGGAGTTGGTGTTGGGTCCGGCACCGTCTGGATTTGCAGTATAGATCTTTAGATGGCTCGTGTCCATCTGTCATTCGACATAGTACCTATCATTTTGTTACATGCACACATTTTTTTGATCTTACTAGGAGGGGTTTTCACAGTTCCTTCTAGAGGCTTTCCCTGGAGACAAGATACAAGTAACAATGCGTGGAATAGATGTGTCTCTAGCCATGTGGGTGTGGGATGAACAAATACAATACACTAGTATATGTGCTTGCAGAAACCAGCTATTGTTCGCCCCAGTTGTCGCAGGTGCCTCTATAGATACGGGAGGAGCGTCGAGTCCGTCACAGTAGTACAACAAGATATTCGAGCATGGCCACTACAACTACCCCGCGCCTGGATTGATGATAGAGCAACAGAGAAAACATATTTTCTATTGCTTTTGCTATTGATACATTCTCTTCAAAATCGTATACAGGAGGCCTTGAACCGCCATCTTCGAGAAAGAAGCATTTAGAAGAGAAAAACATGATATTCACAACTGCAAATAAGACATAACCGAGGTTGGGGAATATTTCTAACGATTGTATTCCATTGCACTTACCACAGGGCCGCTATTGGTCATATCGATGAGTAACTGTGTACGCAGTTGCCGACGTGTTCATGCCCTTCACTCCTTCTCCTAATCCTAGCTACGTCCTTCTTAGCAGTACTTGCAGCCTCTTTCTTTGGAAATCCCCCCCAAGAAATTGCATACGGACCAATCACCTTAGCGATCTCTATAGTATGCAGCACAAACGCATCCATGTTGAGGTAATTAATAGTATCGCACGCTTTGTGGTAACAGGAGTCGTATGGGACACCAGCCTCTCCGCCAAACATAAGAACTTCTTCAGCAGTTTTGTTATTTGCTGCGCCAGTGAAGGTTCAGCTAACTAGAATTCCCTCGTTAAGAGATGCCTCTTAATCACAGCGGCCGTTGAATTGAGTTGCGGTATAGTTCCGACCAGCAGCTTGAAAGTACTCTTGAAACAATGCTTTTAGTTCGGCTGAACCAGAGGGTCCAGAGGTACCAAAATCCTTACTGTCGCTATCATAGATAGCATTGACGTAGTTGGGTGAAGCAATCTAAATGTAACATGTAAGGATGAGGGGTTTTAGTGAGATATTGGTCATGTTTAGGCATGCAACATACTATATCAAAATTCTGATAAGCGCAAATCTTAGCTTTCTCTGCTACAGACAGAGTCGAGAGAAGATGGGATGAAGCCGGATGCTGGTATAGTTCCTCTGCAGTCCAGAACGCAAAGGTTACAGCATTGCTGACTATATACCTTCAAAGTGATCTCGCGACTTCAAAGAGAGCATTGATGCCACTGTCATCATCTTTGGTACCCGGACCAGCAATAATCGAATCAGTACCGGCACCGAGAATGAGCTTTTTGTTTTGGTCACCAGACTTAGTAGTCGCAAAGAACTTAGATGTAGTAACGCTACGAGTGTCTATAATATGTATCTTAGCAAAAGCCTATTTTTTTTTCTAATGCAATATCAGAACAACAGTTTCCGATAGATCAACATTTTTGGAAAACCGATTCGCAATGCGCTGAACTGTGCTTTTCGATGTCATGCGGGTCTCGCGCTTTGGCACATCTACAAATCAATCTGCCAATTGACTAAATCATCTTCAACTTAAATCAGCACTTGCCTGTCAAGATATCGAAACTAGCAGTGATGTTTTCTCCACGCTTGAGGGCTGCAGAAATAGGTTCAGAGACACTTTTGATATTGCGCATGGGGACGTAAGGACCCTGAGACCATGGGGGAAGAAGAAGCGTTCCTTCCACTGGGCCATCATCATTGATGTTATACAGAATAGCTTCTGAGGCGCCTACGGAGCCAGCAAGTGCTGATTTAATCCCATAATTGCAAGTTCCATGAGTAATGATGGCGATATTTCTAGCTAGGCCTGGTGGATAGTCAGTCTATATTTTTACAATTCAGTAACAAGCTACACATTACACTATAGACTCGAAACCCTATCTTATCACATCCGCCATCGACAATCATCAATGGCGCGGTTCCCTTTCCGCTAGGAGAAAATTGGAAGGAGTATGAGGAGTTTGGTATCTCACTGCCGTCAATCGAAAAAGCATTGACAGCCTCAGCAAATTGAACAATGGCCTAGACAGACTGGAGAGACGTGATACCAGTTTTCAACCCTAAAGTCTTTCTTTTATCCACCTAACCGTCGCTTCGTGTCCAGGGCGAGAAGCTGTTCGATTCCTTTCGTTCGTAGCGTAGGCGAACGATTGCAATTTTTAAGAACCCGCCCATGAGTTATTGCGAGAAATGCATTCCCTCAGAAGGTTCTAATGGGTTTGTCGGCGAGTAATTTGTTCAGTTCTTTAGCTTTCCCCAAAAATGCCGTACAGAGTTCAGGGGGTGTTGCTGCTCGCGGAGACACAAGTAGAAAACGCATCAATTATATCATAGTACTTCATGGTATTTATCCAATAAGAGTTGTAAAGAGTAAGATTTTTCAAGAAGACCATACCTCCAACCCGCAACATATAGTTACATATTGCGCAGCCGTTGTGCCAAGGACTGACCTATTTCGCGAAGGGTTCCAGGGTCACTCTGGCCGGTGGAGAGTACTGGAACCGAAGTGGGTGGTACCAACGGCATCACTGCGGTGGGACTAATATGCTCTAGGCATACTTAGCTCTATACTAAAGTTCATTTTCCGCTGAACTCCTCCGAACTCCGCTGAGAAGCAACAGTCTTTGGTCCGCAGTGAAGACCCTAGGGGATGAGATAGTCGGGGAAGGCAGTTGTAAAACATCTACAGAGTAGAAAGAGATTTTTGGGTCGAATAAAGTAAGCGACTTGTATGCGAAGCTAGCATACCATAAAAACGACCGTTTCTTTAGGTACGGGTGATTCTTGGGTAAATGGTGAGGGAACTCTTGCTGCCAATAACTTTGACCATCTTATCGTCTTGCACTAGAGCTGAACGGTGAATCAAACGCGTGTAGCGACCAAGGTGCGGCTCAAAGTTCGGCACACTCGGAAGGTATGACAGATTCACGGTACGTATGCCCGTGGTAGCTATATCAAGGTGTCACCTAGATCATCGCTGCTAGTCCGTCAATACGGCGCATGCAGCATCAATAAGAAAGGCTTCTTTCCTTCCCACGTATTTCATATTTAGAGAAGCTCGCCGCTGAGAACATGGTACTACAAGATCAATTTGTCAACAATGTATCTGACTGATGACACCGGGACCGAGTCAGTAGGATGGCAAGACCCTTCCCTGGCTATGTTAATACAAGCAATTCTCAGCTCACTCTCATATCTAATATTAGCAGTTCAGAACTATCGTATTGTATATGCGACTTGCTCGCGTGTTGATCAACGAGGAGAGGGACCTAAAGATGGGGATAAGTAATCGAATGCATGCGATCATTATCGCAGCGTCCTGGAGAAGCAAGATGACATTACACGGCGATCACCACATAGAGAGAGGAGCGCAATGCAGGGTACAAAATAGGCTGCTGAAGTCTGTAGCGCATGCTTTGCCTTGCATCAGCGTACCAATCCACGCAAGTGCGCTCAAGTCCCCCGAGGCTGAGATGCTCCCCCGGTCAGGGATGCATGCCACTACGTCCTTATCGAGAAGGTTTCATAAGCATTCCGCAATATGCATCATGATCCTAGATATACCGCCAGTAATTGAGTTGAGGCGGACAAATGTCGAAGCCCTCACCCACGACTCGGGCATGCAAGTCGCAGCGAGCGCGTCATTGAGGCGAGAGCCGGTGGGTCCCTTATTTCCCCTACTTGCAGTTTGATCGGCTATTGTTACCATATAAAACGTGCTTATTAGAGACCGTTGCCTAGAGACTGTTGAGGAAATCTACTCGCTAGTAGCATCATGAATCGCTTCCATCGCTTTTTGCAGAACTTTTTTCGTATCATCGTCCACCACAGCCTTCTGTACCTCCTCTAGCCGCTCTACCCAAAGCCGCCATCTCTCTTCGCTGTAGCCGTTCCAGTCTTTACCAACAATATCGCTGCCCTGTTCTGCAGCACGACCAGCGTATGTTTTTCCCTCCTTACAAAACGCGTACATACTCTTACCCGCGTATATGAACCATGCTGCTGCTGCTTTGCACCCCTCGTCTCCATTTTTACTGTGAATCCGGCCTGGTGCCGAGTCCTCTAGTACTGAACGCAGCGTCCAGACTGCGTAGATAGAAAGATCCACCAGATCAGCAGCTGTAAGGCGAGCGGCGAATGCATTCATATTGAACGACTCTGCATGCTGCTCTAAACAAAGATTAGCCATTCAGTTCTTGCTGCACGTGTTCAAGCCAAAAAAAACTAGCAAAGTAGGGATGAATACCGTTATCCCAACACTCTCGAATGACCGGCCCTAGCAACGAAAGTTGCTTCCAAGTAACTTGCTCACCCCAGATTTTAAATTCAGTCGGCTCTTTCAGGTCAGCCACAGCTGCGAGGACTTCTACCACTCTATCAAGCTGATGAACTGGCATCTTCAAGGCGTATCCAACTACCTGATTCCAGATATCCCATAAAGCAGCCTCACCAGCTTCTGAATCAGCTGCAGCAAATGATGAAATAGCAGGTGCTACAAGGGAATGTGCAGCTACAGAGGCCGGTATAGATGCATCCGTAATTTGTAGAATGGCCGGTGACGGACGCGGTACATTTTGGACAATCCCCTCACGGCCATTACCTCTACGACTACGATTTCCTCGCATTGGGCAGTCTACTTCTCTTGCGATGTGCTGAACGGCCTACGCAGCGTACTCTGCATGGAGTCTCAACTTAGGTATGAAAAAGGTTGAAGGAATTTCTAGAACTTACCTAAGGGTTCTGAATGTGATGGAATTTCTGCGGTAATGCTCTGTCTGCTGCACTTACAGTAGCAGTTAGATGGGTGGAACTAACAACGCTTATATACAAGGCGGCAAGGCGGTAAGTAACGCATGCTGACTACGTACTATGCTGCGCTAAAACCCCAGTTAGCGTGCAATCAGTGCTTCCGCGGCAGAATTATTACCAAAGCTTGTCCTGCATGTGGCTCACGCTGTATCTTCACCGACGAACGCACAACTAAAATCTTACGTACGCGTGATTAGCGCATGAACCATAATTCCCAAGCTAATAAATCCCAAAATTGGCGAAGCACTCTTGGTCAGCATCCAAACACAACACCCCTGGAATTTTCTCAACGTAGGTGCCTAGCTTTCTAGATACATCAATTAAATTCCAAGGTATATATTTGTCACTTGGATGAAGCGCTCAGAATTCTTTCCGCTTCAAATCACAGCTAGGTTTGAAATGACATTTTCTATGAGCATAAAAGATAGAACAATATATATCTCATCTGCTACGAGCCCTGTCTATGACCGTGGCATATACTACTCTTGCATAACGGCCGCTATAACAGAATCTTGATAGCATTACCTATGCTCTATGCGGGGCTATCATTTCAAGGAGATCGTATGTTAAGTATTAAATTCTGTAGCATATTATCGATCCGCTTTACCAGTGTATATGATCCATCTTAGCAGTTAAGTACAGAGAAAGAAAGTGTTACGATTGTTCGCAGGAGCACCTGTGTGCGTCATGGCACTAAGGAGGTCACAGTTTCCTGTAGTTGCGTCGAAAGCAGCTACGCAGCGGTCTGGTCCTGGAGGACCTAGAGACAAAGTGTTAGCAAGTACCATTAAGTGTAACATCCAGTAATCGCAGTACGTATATCACGCATTTTCAGCTTAAATACTTGCGAGATTGGAATAAAAATTACGCTTACCCCCATTGTAGGCCTTAGTACCGAGTATTAGGGGGTACTCATACAAGCTTCCCGTATACGACCCAAAGTTCAGCTTTTCGCGGTTCCCGAAAAAGTGAGGGTAGCCTCCAGGCCCCCCCCCCTGTTGTCATACAGGCAGAGAGTTGCACGGCAGGCTTCCAACTGAGAGTCAGAATAAACAACTCCTCCACACGTCACACCACGCTTCTCGAGCGTGCTGCTTGGAGTGGGTGTTGCAAACGCTAATCCAGCGAGAAAGGAGACATTCAATAAAGCCTACAGAAAGCTGTTAATACTAAATCCAAGCTATCGAGTTATCATTGAAAGCTCTGACCTTGCTAAACATATTGAGATGGTGTTAAAAGGTTCCAGGGACAAAACGATTTAGAGTGAGGAAAGAGTTTGAACGAATCAATAGCGGTAACTGAGGGGATGTTGATCACCGTTTTCACAAAACGACCTTTATATAGAAGTTCAGCTTGGGGTTCGGCTTGGTATCACAAACCGATTCACTTCGGTTCTACTAAGAAAACTGTAGCACATTCGTCTTAGCTCTGACTGTGTACCCTAACCCTATCTACTAATTTTAAAGCTCTCATATATCGGCGTGATATTCCCGCTTCCAGCTATGGAAAAGATTTGCAGTAACAGATGCTTGGAGGCAAGGATAATGAGTTGTGATGTAGGTTATGGAATTTCCCGTAACGCGGCGATCTTTTGTACATGCGATTTAGGTAAGAACTAACGAGGCTTGGGTTCTTGTGATTACCTAGGTAGGCGTGAGTGAGCTCTGGCAGAGTCTTCAAATTGAGAAATCGTAGTAGTAGAAAAGAATCCCTATTGTCTTTCTAGAGAAATCCTTAAAATCAATGCAGTCCCTACTATAGCGTTCGATATAGGCTCTATGCGTAAAGGTGTTAACTCAAAAGCTCTTTCTATACTCATAATTCAGATGAGATACTTATAGAACTAATTTCTTTCTTATAACATAAGATTATAGCGTTATCTCAGACTAGATCTTGCTAGCATCTCACGTAAGGCGCTACTTACGGCGCTACTATTATAAGCAATAAGAAGGATTCTCTCCTTAATAAGTAACGAGATGGCTGAAGGCCTATAGACGTCTACGTTAGAAGGTAATAATCGTTATAGGGCTAGATTACGTAACGTGCTATTACGCTAAGATAGTACTATTAGTAATAGTAGAGCTATATATAATAGTAGCTATTAGAAGTAAAGATAACTATATTACACGGGGTCTAGAGTGCTAATACTTCTCTAGCTTGATCTAGGTTAAGGCGAGTAGGATTAGAGTTAGCGCCGTAAGAGTTACCTAGCGATTCTTAATAGAAAAGAGTTATAG